GGTGGCACGTACCTGTGGTCCCAGCTACTCAGGAGGCTGAGGTGGGAGGATCACTTTAGCCCAGGAGGCGCAGGTTGCAGTGAGCAGAGATCATGGCACTGCACTCCAGCCTGGGTGACAGAACGAGACCTGGTCTCAAAAAATGAACAAATAATCCAAATCCATAAATACCCAGCATGGGACTTAATAAAAACTTCTATGTATTCACGAGACAAGCTCTAGCAACAAACGAGGTCAAACGTTATTCCCAAATAGTTGGGCATGGTGGTCCTGCAGTGAAGTTATCCTAGAAATAATCATCTACATGGGAACCTACGTGGCTTCACATTTTTGGGAAAATAACTCTATGAAATAAATAAACCGAACTTAGAACAGAACTAAACTTTCTTTTATTTATTCAGGTGGCCTAAAATTTTCTCATGTCTTACAATCATCAGAATAAACTTCAAATACTGTAAAAACTTTGAAAGCAAATTCTGATGGAGGGTACCTTCTGGATCATACATACAAGTGGCTTCCCAGCTCCGTTTTGTGATCTCCTGTGTGTATGCTTTCACCCTGGCTCCTTAGAATAAGAAGTCCTCCCTATAACTTGCCTTACTGTGCGAGTATAATTCTATATGCCATTTGAGGACAGAAGTATCCTTTAGTGAAACCCATCTTAGCTCCTTTCTCAAAGAACTGGGAGTTTTGTTCAAACTTTGACAACTCCATCTATGTAGCTACGTAATTAAATACAAAAAGCTTTACACAATCAATACAGCACCGACAGCCAAAAATGCAAACAACTCCAAAGAGAACAAGAAGGCAACTAAGATGCATTCATTGAAAAAGAAAAGTTTAGGGCCGGGCGTGGTGGCTCATGCCTGTAATCCCAGCACTTTGGGAGGCCGAGGCGGGCGGATCACCTGAGATCAGGAGTTCGAGACCAGCCTGATCAACATGGTGAAATGCCATCTCTACTAAAAATACAAAAGTAGCTGTGCGTGGTTGGGTATGCCTGTAATCCCAGCTACTCGGGAGGCTGAAGCAGAAGAATCGTTTGAACCCAGGAGGTGGAGGTTGCAGTGAGTCAAGATCGTGCCATTGCACTGGAGCCCGGGCAACAAGACCGAAACTCCATCTCCAAAAAAGAAAAGACAGAAAAGAAAGAAAAAGAAAAGTGTACGACTCTGTCCTATGGTGCCTCAAACCAAAATGTTATTAGGAAAGTCAAAAAAGAACAAAATCTGAGCTTATTATTTTATTCCCAAATCTGTCTCCATCCATTGTATTTTTCAGCCGCCCAACACAGAAATATAGGTATCATTCCATCCCATCAGTTACTGTCTGTCAACATTGCCCCCTGTACATTTTTCATATAAAATCCCCCCCTGCCTCCACTGCCACTGTCCTAGTTCACATGGGACATGAAGCTCATGTTCTTACTGGTCTCCTAACCTCTAGTTTAACTCCCTCCACCCTCTTCTCCATACTGATCTTTCACAGGAAAATCTGACCATATCTTCTATCTGCTACTCTGCTATGCAAATTTCTCAATGGTCAGTATAAAATTGGAGCTCGTTTATTTATTTATGTATTTATTTTTGAGATGGAGTCTCACTCTGTTGCCTAGGCTGGAGTGCAGTGGTGCAATCTCAGTTCACTGAAGCCTCTGCCTCCTGGGTTCAAACGATTCTCCTGCCTCAGCCTCCCAGGTAGAGTAGCTGGGATCACAGGCATGTGCCACTACACTTAGTTAATTTTTGTATTTTTAGTAGAGATGAGTTTTCACCATGTTGACCAGGCTGTTCTCCAACTCCTGGCCTCAGATGACCTGCCAGCCTCAGTCTCTCAAAGTTCTGGGACTACAGGCATGAGCCACCGCACCCGAGACTTGCTTGTTTATTTAGCACAAAGCCCTTTCCTTAGCACTTTTGACTCCCTGTCATTATTATAAACATTTATTTGCTTATAGTTGGTTTCCCCAACTGTAATGGAAGCTCCATCAGGGCTGGATAGCCAGTAACTAGAACAATGCCTGGTACATGGTTGGAAACTTGGTAAATCCTCATTCACTGAACAGCAAACATCCAGGATTCCCTGTCTAGCCTGACCTCTGACTTTACCACCGCCTGCCTCACACTTTACACTCAACAGCGCCAAAAACTGACAATTCCCAGGCCCCAGGCAGGCAGTGCTGTGAGCGTTTAAATATGTCATTCTCAGCCGGGCGCGGTGGCTCATGCCTGTAATCCCAGCACTTTGGGAGGCCGAGGCGGGCGGATCACAAGGTCGGGAGATGAAGACCATCCTGGCTAACACGGTGAAACCCCGTCTCTACTAAAAATATAAAAAAATTAGCTGGGCGTGGTGGCGGGCGGCTGTAGTCCCAGCTACTTGGGAGGCTGAGGCAAGAGAATTGCTTGAACCTGGTAGGCGGAGGCTGCAGTGAGCCAAGATCGCGTCACTGCATTCCAGCCTTGGCGACAGAGTGAAACGCCATCTCGAAAAAAAAAAAATACCATTCGCTCAATCTGAGACACCTTCCTTCGACTTTTAAGTCTGAGAAATTCTCACGCATCGAGTGTCGGCTCCCGTGCTACCTGCTGTGTTCCTGCTCCTGAGAATCTCACCTGCGGACTAAAGTGCTCCCCGTCTTGCTGCTCCCCCTGCCGGTCCACAGTCGCCAGCACATCTGTGACCTCGCTGGTCTGTTCCTGTTTATAGCCAGTCTTGCCCCAGTAGGTAAGGTCAGGGACCATGACCTTCACCTTGGCTCCCCGGTACTAGCAAGATTCCTTACATAGAATAGTCACTTACATAGTCATGGAATCAATGAAAAAGTAAATAAGACAATTATGATGATAACAATAGCTAACTAATACTAGGTACACTTCTCAGTATGTGCCAAGCACTGTTCCTAGTGATTGAGATTTTATATATATACTATGTATACATATATATATTTAATAAATGAACAAATTAACAGTAAGAGTATACATCTATATGTAGTTTTAGCTTCTTTCTCACATACAAATTAAAGATCAGGATAGAATAGTCTGTAAAACCAAGATATAAATGGAGAATCGTTTCATTTCTGCTTTGCCAGATGGGTATACAGGCTCCAAATTTGTAGGGAGAAAAAAAAAACCCATCTCATCTAAAGTGATGTTTCTCCCTCCTTTTAACTTCACTTTCCCTCAGACATAAGAATAAAGGCTGCCCATGGATCTTACAAAGTTGGTCCCTAAGCCCAAGTGAACTTCAAAATAATGTGTCTGACCAAACTCTTTGTGGAAAGAATAAACTAAAAATCACTCCATGAATGAGATTTTTTTCATGACTGCTCCCTATTAAATTGGCAAATACGGCTAGACACAGTGGCTCATGCCTGTAATCCCAGCGCTTTGGGAGGCCGAGGCAGGCAGATCATGAGGTCAAGAGGTTGAGACCATCCTGGCCAACATGGTGAAATCCTGTCTCTACTAAAAATACAAAAATTAGCTGGGCATGGTGGCGTGTGCCTGTAGTCCCAGCTACTCGGGAGGCTGAGGCAGGAGACTCGCTTGAACCCAGGAGGTGGAGGTTGTAGCGAGCTAAGACCGCTTGACGACACAGCAAGACTCTGCCTCAAAAAAAAAAAAAGCTGGCAAATACCTGGCCAGCATCTATTGCCACTCCATGTCAATCACTAACTTAACCAGAGCATTTAGTGGCTACAATTTAATGAATATATGACTTTGCACAGAGACTGAAGCATGAATGGTCACTTTCATCTGATGGCTGCACCAATGAAGATGGAATTCTGATGCCACAGTTCTGGGTGGGGTCTATGGATGTATTCGTCTGTTCTCCCATTGCTATAAGGGAATGCCTGAGGCCGGGCAACTTACAATAAAAGAGGTTTAACTGACTCATGGTTCTACCGGCTGTATAGGAAGCATGGCAGCAGCTGCTTGTGGGGAAACCTCAGGGAGCTTTTACTCATGGTAGAAGGCAACGCAGGAGCACGTATATTACATGGCAGGAGCAGGAAAGCATGAGGGGGGGAGGTGCTACACACTTTAAACAACCAGATCTCACAATAACTCACTCACTATCATAAGGACAGTACCAAGAGGGGATGGTGCTAACCCATTCACGAGAGCTCCACCCCCATGATCTAATCACCTCCCACCAGGCCCCACTTCCAACACTAGGGATTACAATTCCACATGAGATTTGGTGGAGACACAGACCCAAACCATATCAATGGAGTCTGAAGGAGCATTTAGACCCAGAACCATGGGGTTCTCTTCCCAGCTTGGCCACTAACCTCAGAGGGGACCAGGAGCCAGGCCCTTAGCCCCTTTGAAAAGGCTTAGCTTCCTCTGTGTACAATGAAAGCACTAAAACCTGCCCTCCCTACCTCACAAATGTTGAGAGGGTCAAGTGCTGCAAAGTAATACACAAAAACAGGTTATCATTATTATTATTTACTGTTCCCTGGTTCTGCAACCTCAGCTGAATCAAAACTCCTCTCCTCACCTTTGCATAAACAAAGACAGAGGATTTTCACCTCTCAGCTACAGAGAATTGCAAAAATGAATGAAGCATCATTAGGGAAAATATTCTTCCCTCCAAGGCACAAAGGTGCTTTGTAAACTATTCCTATTTAACGCGGAGAGAAAAAAAAAGATCAACCATATTACCATTTGTCTGCCAGTTCATGCAATGCAAATAAGTCCCTTCTCGGTCAACAGAACTGAGATAAAATTTTACTGGACACAAAATACAGTAAAAATTTAACTTCCTTATTGTGCCAACAATTAGCTTCTCAATTAGCTCTCAAATACTCACTGATGTAGGCCACCGAAAGGATATATTAAAACAATAAAATTTGTTTAAGACCCAAAACATAAAAAGAAATTAGAGATCCATTTCTGTGCAATAATATAAAAATAATTCCTCCCCTGGTCCTACCCGGCACACCCCTTCCACTCTCTCCCTCTCCGCCTCTTCCCTCCACTGATACTCACCCGAGGTTCAGGTGTTTGAGTTTCTGAAGGCTGCTGATCTGTGTGGGCAGCTCTTCGATCTGGTTATTAAAAAAGTTGAGCACTTCCAAATTCTTCAGTTCTGCGATGTTGGGTGGCACCACTATGGAAACAAAAATGCTGAGTGTGAATCTGGGGACGGAACTCCTAGAAAGGGATGGCAGCGGCACGTTTTGTTTTTCTTTCAAAGCAAAGAAAGATTATAACTCCAAAAGGACCATCGCACTCACCTACCGGTCTTATTTATTTTGTACAGGTTTTTCATAAGCAGTCGCTCACTTCTGAGTGGCCGCTGAAATGCTTCTTTGTATCTGATTAGCTAAGTGCCTGGCATAGTTTGTTTCAGATGGACAATGACGGGGGCAACAGAGCCAAGATGCACAAAAGAGAATTTCTGTACCATAAACAGCCTATAAAAATACTGTGAAGCATACATACTTATGGTTGTCACATAGGATCTTATAAGTGCAACTGTTGTTTTTTTTTTTTCTTTCAGTTTTCTTGCATTGCCACCAGAAGTAAGATGGCGACCTCCAAATCCTTTCTGGGGTGGGGTACATTGAAGTTGCTTAAATAACCCAGTATCTGAAGGGCTGTCCTCTTAACGTTGCATTAATAACAATATAAGCTCAATTTTAAATGATGAAATATTCGACCTCCCTAGTTTCTGATTTTGGCCTCTGGAGTAATGTATCTTGATCAATAACACACACACACATACAGACACACACATACATACACATACACACACACAAAGGTTACATCAGATTAGCAACAGATCGATACACTGGTATTATATAGAAATACAAAAAGTCAACTCAGTAGCATGCTATGAATTCTAGTATGCAGATCCAAGATGAAAATCAGCCACTAGGGATCTGAAAGGTTCTTCCTTCCCTAGCATATATACACTGGAAAATACAAATGTAAAAGCCAAAGGCATCTTCATCTCAAAAGCACAAACTACAAATTGGTAGCAGAAGGAGTTTCCATAGACTGTAATTCATCTATCCCATTTGCTATTCAGTCTTTCCAGAAACATTTCTGTGGGTGATAAGCTTGGCCATGGTTCACATAAACTCTGATACCAAGACTATCCAGGTAACTAAGAACATGAACAGGGGCCTGGAGCCCAGCCCAAGAAAGTGTGATGTCTCTTATCAGTCAGTTTACTTCCTATCTCCATCTGCTTCCTCCAGGGGTGCCCCAGGAGGCCAGGAAACTAACCTGCTTCCTGCAGTCAGACCTAAACTCAGACCCAGGAGCACCCGTGATTTGAACCACCACAAAGGTGTGTGTAAAATGCCAAATGTACATCTAAAATATTTAAGCAGTTAGCCATTTCAAGAAGACTAGTTGATAACTCCCAGGGGAATAAAAGTATAAGGACAGGCACTTTGCTTATTTCTGAAATGTCTAAGGTATCGCCGGCTATTCTTTTAGAGGTAAGGCTTGGTGAAAGGTAAAAGAGATGCTTTCACTGGAAGAAGGGACTGTGAAGAATACAGATTACTCTGAACTGGGGCACATGGGCAGGGAGCAGTGGTCTAGTGAGCAGCCCCTGGGTGAGCTTCTGAAGTGGCTGTTGAGAAAAGAACAGGTTTTCATCAGGTAATCTAGACAGCTCGAAGTTCCTCCAGAACCCTCCCTCTTGGATACCTGCAGGAATGCAAACGAACCCTACCTGTGCAAATGTACATTCTTTCTTAGGTGCACAGTCCATGGAACACTTCTGTGCAAATGAATGGTATTCACTGTGTGTAAGCAATTACCAAGAAAATCACCGGGGCCAGGGGCAGTGGCTCACACTTGTAACCCAGCACTTTAGGAGGCCAAGGTGGGTGGATTACTTGAGGTCAGGAGTTCATGACTAGCCTGAGCAACATGGTGAAACCCCAACTCTACTAAAAATACAAAAATTAGCTGGGCATGGTGGCAGACGCCTGTAATCCCAGCTACTTGGGAAGCTGAGGCAGGAGAATCGCTTGAACCTGGGAGGCAGAGGTTGCAGTAAGCCAAGATCATGCCATTACACTCCAGCCTAGGTGACAAGAATGAAACTCTATCTACAGAAGAGAAGACTGGCCTGGCGCAGTAGCTCACTCCTGTAATCTCAGCACTTTGGGAGGCCGAGGCAGGCAGATCACCTGAGGTCAGGAGTTTGAGACCAGCCTGGCCGACATGGTGAAACCCCATCTCTACAAAAAGTAAATAAATAAATAAATAAATAAATAGCTGGGCATGGTGGCAGATGCCTGTAGTCACAGCTACTCAGGAAGCTGAGGCAGGAGAACCACTTGAACCTGGGAGGCAGAGGTTGCAGTGAGCTGAGATCACGCCATTACACTCCAGCCTGGGCAACAACAGTGAAACTCTATGTCAAAAAAAAAAGAAAAGAAAAGAAAATCACCAGGCTGTGCCTTCTGGGTCACTGGGATGTCACCTTCTCCCCCGAGATCATGAAGTATATACAGTACAGCTGCCCACAGACCTCATCCCTCCCCTGTCCACCCTCCAGCTACCACTAAGCCTTCATCTGATTAGTTCAAAGACCACATTCATCTGATTAGTTTGAAGAGCAATAACGAAAGTTAGTGAAACCAGGAGAAAATGATGATCTCAATTTAGCCACAAACCAAGAATAATGCAGCCAGAATTACTGCTGTCTTCCCGAAGTTACTCTGCCAATGCAATTAAATGCTGGTCTAAAGGTATCGCCTTTTTGACAGGATGAGAGATTATTTCACTCTCCTTGCTAAATCAGTCCAATTTAAAACCACAAATTATGCTAAATGTGATTTAGGGCTTTGTTTTGTGAACGCAAACAATAACCCCATATTCAATTTACAAAACCTCTCCCAGCCTTTGGTGAGCATGTGAATTTTTTGTTTAAGACTCCATTCAAGCTAGGTGAGGAAAAAAAACAATACACAGCTAATATTCTCCCTAAATATACAGAAATTTTTTTAACCGCCAGCCACAGTGAAAATCTAAAGAAATTAACATGCAGACCCTCCTGGATGGGATGGTATTCACTCTTTGAACCAATATTTAGAGAATGCTGATTAGGTGCACAGTGCCATACTTTGCACACACAGCATCTCAATACTCTGGGGATAAAGTAGGAGAGGCATGTTATTTAAACAAAGTAAGTTACAAAAGACACAGTATCAAAGTCAATCAACTGAAACAGGTCTAGTGCTTGGAAAATAAACTACTCGCAACCAAACTCTCCAGAAAAAATAACCCAGTTAGCAATACGAATTGTGCCATGACTAAATCCTATACATACGGGGCGGGAACAATTTTAGCTATTCCAAAAAGACCACTGCAATATTTTACCTAAATATTCTATTGGAATTTTCTAGATACCTACAGGACGCATGAGCAAGAAGCATTTTAAAACCTAACAGTGTGCATCAGTATATTTCTTATGTCTTTGAAACGACCCTTTTTCATCAATCTGTCCAGCTTCTGATCTATGACCCCAGCTGACCTATGACACCAAAGGAACTAAAGAGCAACGTGGTCCCTGACCCTACAGTGCTGTGTGTGCCCTCACTCAACTCATAACCTCTCTGGGCCTCCATAAAATAAGAAGGCTGGATTATGACCATTTCCCAGGTCTCTTCCACCTCGTGTTAACATTCTAGGATTCTAAGAGGAGATGGATTATGATAATCAATGATACAGCTTTAAATAATTCAACAAATGGGGCCCTCAATTAGGAAGCTTAGTCATGTAGAACTTTGCTTCTGACAGAGAATTGAGTATCATTTTCTGCCTAGCCAAAGATGGTTGCTTTAATTTTGAGACTTCAGTTGCCAGGTTTGGGGGAACAGTCCCAAAGAACTCAGATATCCCCTGGCTCCTCAATGTCACATTTCGCTCTAGCCGCAGGGTCACAGGACTGCTGGGGATGCTCTCGTCCCAGAGCCTCTGCTGGTGTTTTGGAAAGGTGACAAGGATGTGGTCACATCACCCCAGAGACTAATCTCAAAGTTTCTTCTGGGCTTTGCAGCAGTTCCGCCTAACACACCCGCCATGACCTTTTTTCCTTCAGGTCCTCCTAAACTGAAGAACCCGAATGTGATTCGAAAGTTTTGTCCATCTCATGTACCAGCCCAGACTTGGCAATTCAGCACCCCCATCTCCACCAGCACAGTTTCTGGAAGGTTCCACAAGCAGCCCAAAGTGCCCAAAGGGCTCATTCACTTCTCCTTGGCCGGAAGCACCTCCACTTTGCCGGACAGGCTGGAGAAACCAAAGTCCATCTGTGCGAAATACCGACACCCCTTCCTGAGCAACAGTTTTACTCCTAAAAGGACATATATCTACTGTCATCAGTTATATCTGCAACAGGCATGAGCCACCCGGCACTGCACCGTTGATGCATATTCACAAAATCGACAATCAATCAGCTCAAGAATAGGCTTCCCCCAACCGGCCAGCAGCCCGCAAACTGTCTGCCCTCCACAGGAAGAATCAAGATCACCTATGTTGTAACAATCGCAGTTTCAATCCTGTTGAATTGAGTAAGGAAGATTCTGCTCTATGATCTACAATTAATAATTCCACAACTAACAACTTAAAGCATTTTAGGAGTTTACACAATAATAATTAGCCGGGTATGTTCTGGGGCTGGGCTATCTGATGGACAGCCACTAGCTATATGCAGCTGTTTGAATTTAAACTTAGATTAATCAAAATTAAATAAAATGATGAATGCTACTGTTGGTCATAGCAGCCCCATTTCAAGAGCTCGACGGCCACATGTGGTGGCTAGTGGCTCCACTACTGCACGGCAGGGATACTGACTGTTTCCATCACTACAGAACGTTCTATTACACAGCCCTGCCCGATGGCAGTGGGTCTCAAACCACAGAGACATCAGAATCACTGGAGGGCTTGTTAAAACACAGATGGAGGGGTATCCCGGAGTTTCTGATTCAGTAGGTCTGGGGTAAAGCCTGAGACTCTGAATTTCCAACAACTTCCCAGGGGATGCCGATGTTGCTAGTCTGGGAACCGTATTTTGGCTCAGAAAACTTTCAATTCATTGGTAGCATCACCATTATCAATCCAACACATACATCCCTTACC